GCTGCCGCTCCCGCCGCCGCCGCCGGCGCTGCTGCCGGCGGCGCTCGTGCTGCAGCCGCTCGCGGCGCCGCCGGCGGTTAACGCGCTGCTGCCGCCGCTGGCGGCGCCAGCGGCGCCAGGGCTGGCGTGCGTGCCGTTGCTGATTGACCCGGGGACCCGCCGCCCCGAGGGTATGGGAACAGGCGGCGCCCGCCACTCGTCGCCGGCGTCGCCCGCCCCGATGTGCGCAGTGGGCTGCGGCACGCCGAACGCGGGCCGCCACCCGCCAACCGCGGCGGCCGCGTGGCCGTTTTGTGGGCGCGCGGGGCGCTGCGGCGGGCCAGCCGCCGCGCCGCTGCTTTCTGCCGCCTCGTCTGCCTTCTCTTGGCACCCGCTCAAGTCGTCAGCTGCATCCGGGGTGCCCCCCAGGAGGTCCGCCACTCCCCCTGCCGGCATCGACATGCAATGGGCCAGCCCCGCCAGCGACGCGCCGCCCCAGCTGACGGAATGTGAGCGAGCGGCCATGGCGGCGCGCCCGCCGCGCTCCGAGCCCTCGTCCACTCCAGTCAGCAGGTAGCGCTCAAGGGGCGTCGACCGGCTGTCGCCGCCGCCGCTGCTGCCGCCGCCGTCGCTTGCCGGGGACACGGCCCGCGCCGCCGCCGCCGCCGCCGCCGCTATCGCGGCCGCGGCTGTCGCCTCGCCGCCGGCCCGGCTGGGTGGCGGCGCGGGGACCGCCTGCAGGGCGCTCGTGCTGACGCTGCGCCGGAACGTGCCTTGGGAGCTGATAGCCACTGGGTCGCTGCGCGCGGCTGCGCCGGGGTCCCTGGTGGCGCACGGCGCGCCCGGCGGCCTGCGCACCGTCTGCTGCTGCTGCTGCTGCTGCTGCTGCTGCAGCCTGTTGTCATCCGTCGCCACGCTGCCGAGCCGCACGCGCCCATACACCGCCTCCCCGCCCGCCCCGCCGCTGCTGCCGCGGCTGCTGCCACTACCGCTGCCGCCGTTGCTACCGCCGTCGTGCGCGGCCGCGCCGCCGCCGCTCGCGTCCCGCAGCGAGTACCGCGCCAGTGAGCTCTGCTCGAACCCGCCGCCGCTTACGTGCAGCTTCCCGGCAGATGCCGCCCCCGGCGGCGTGGCCAGGCTCAGCAGGCCGGTCGTCCTGTCGTATATGTGCCTGTGCGGCTTCAGGTCCCCCAGCTTCACAGCAGCTTCCGCCAGGTGGCGATGGTCCTCTATAAACACATTGTCGGCGGTGACGTCACCGTGTATGTACACCGGCCGCTGCGCGTGCAGCAGCGCCAGCGCGTCGGCGATCTGGGCTGCCCAGCGCAGCGCCCAGCGCATGTCGTACAGGGGCCGCGGGCTGCGCATCTGCTCGGCCAGAAGGCGCCGCAGGCAGCGGGTGCCGACGAACTCCTCGGCGCTGAAGACGGACGCGCGGACGGCGGCCAGGGTGGAGTGGTGGAAGCAGCCCAGGCCGTAGAAGCGAGGGATGTGCCTGGGCGCGCGCGCGGGAGGATGTGTGTGTTGTGTGTGTTGTGTGTGTTGTGTGTGTTGTGTGGTGTGTGTGTGTGTGTGTGTGTGTGTGTGTGTGTGTGTGTGTGCACGTGCGTGCACGCGTGCGTGTGCTTGTGTGCGTGTATTTGAGGGAGTGCGTGAGGGTGCGTAGGAGCGTCGCGGGCGGATGGATCTGGAGTGCGACGGAGCGCTCCAAGGATCGCCGGGCGCCGCCATGCGCGCCGCCGCGCCGCTGCACCGCCACGCCGCCGCCCCGCGGCCGAGGCCGCCGCCTCGCCTTGGCACCCGCTCGGGCCGCGGCCGCTCACGGGTGATCAAGGCGCGCCAGTTTGCCGGCCTCCAGCAGCAGCTCCCGGAAGTCCTCGGGGGTCGATATGACCCCCGGCTTGAACGTCTTGACCACCAGGGTCGCCACCTGGTGTGAACGCCGAGGCTTAATCAGGTCACAGGGGGTTGCGGCAGCCGCTGCGACCGTCTCCGGCCGCCGCGCTAGGGAGGCGGGAGGAAGCCGGGCAGCCGCTCGCCCGCCCCGCGGCCGGCATGTGCGCGGCGGCGAGGCGCTAGTCGGCGGGCGTTGCTGCTAGGCGCGCGGCGGCGAGGCACACCTGGCCATCGATCCTCGCGCGTGCCTTCTCTACGAGGGAGAGCGCCCCTTGGCCAAGCTCACAGACATACTCCAGATCGTCGGGGTCCACCAGCAGCCTGGGGTGCATGGGCGCGCATAGGGGTGTCTGTATGCATGCATGCACATGCATGCATGCATGCATGTGCATGCATGCGTGCATGCGTGTGCATGCGCGCACCATGCGTGCGCGTGTATTCGCATGCGCTTGCGTGCATGTGTGCATGTGCGCGTACGCAGATGCTGCGGCGTTGAGACGTAGGCCAGGGCGGCAGAGGCAGCCAGGAGGGGCGTTGCCGCAAGGTGAGGCCACGGGAGCAGGTATTTTCGCGGCGCGAGAGCGGGCGATGCGGCGCGCGGTGCTGCGTTTGCAGTAGCGTGACGTGCCACGCGGGCTACCCCGGCACGCCGCGGTGCTTCGACTGCAATCTGCGGCCCATGGCTTTGGTCAGCTGCGTAGTCGCCCCTTGTATTGAGGCGAAAGCTGACGCTGGCTTTGTCAACAAGGCGCCACAGGCAACAATCGCCATGTGTCTGTGCACCCACCTCCCAACATGATGCTGGAACGCCAGCAGTGGCAGCGACGCCATGGGAGCCGTATCCGCGGCAGCACAGGCTATGGCTTAGCAGACGCGCCGCCGCGCTGCACTGGAGGCGGCGGCGCGCCGCTAATGCACGTGCACTGGAACACGTTCTACGCCGGCAAACCAGGTCCACGTGTAACAACCTTGTATCGTTATCGCCCGCGTAGGAAGCCGCCTAAACCCATGTGCGTCGTTGGGGTGATCCCGTGCACTGCGGGCGTATGGCTTGCTCACTGCAGGTCGCAGAGTGCTCTGTGATTCTAGTAGCACCTATGTTTTCAACACCGGTCCTGTGAAACGACGCGCGGACGTCCACGTGCGGATCCCGTGCTGCTGAGTGACGCGAACTTGTGAACCGCGAGTGGTGGCCCGATGCAACGTTATCACAAGAGGTAGGTTATCAGAATCTTCAGCGTGGGGAGACCCAGGGACCCTGCAGTGCACCTAGTCAGGGAGGCTCAACTGACATCGCAGGTGCACACACACCTGCAGCGCACCGGTACAGGTACGCGCTGTTGTGCGTGGCTTGTAAGTACTTTGACTTGTGGGGTAGCCCAATTTCCAGCCCTACCTGCAATGTATCACGACGTGGGGGCCTGGGCTTGGGCCTGTGGAGGTCCGTGCCAAAAACACGGTTGGTGCAGCCGGCGGATGGACGACAGACGAGCCGGCAGGAACCCATCCAGCGCCCGATTAGAGTGACATGATAAACAGCGGCCAGCGTGGTGTGAAAATGTATCACGGAAAGGGATTGCGCCATCGGAAAGAGGTAATCTGGTGCGCGCCCCCCTGACAAACAAACAACCTGCAACCACCCTTGTGCACTGCAGCAATCTAGCCGTGCCCCCCACGGCCACGGCTGCCCTCCTGCTGACATCTTGCCTGGATTATCTCACAAGCATCAAGCTGTTCATGGTCATCAACTGTTGAGTTACAATACCAACCAATGCAAGCTTTTTGAATGGTATTGACAGTCTCCTCGGCAAATTTCAACTAAACAAGTTGTGGGTGTTGTTCTCACTCACAGCACGCGTAACAGCGTGGACGGGGGCAAAGTGACAGTGGGGCACATGCCATGGCAAGTATTCAAAGTAAACGTGTGGCGTATCGGCGGCCTGGGGGTTGCAAGAACTGGTTTGCTTGGAGTGTGGCAAAGGCGACGCAAGAGCGTATCCTCGGTTACAGGGGGCGTGAGAGGCACCAAGGAGTGCGTAGCAAATACTGGGGCCGTGCCGTTGCGGCGCGCTGCCTTTGATTGTCATTCAATGGTCACAATCTGCATGCAATTTGCCATGGCCAGCTGGCTTCACTTCAATAGCCATAACCGTTGCCAAAAGCGGTGGGGTACCCCCCGCGCGGCCCCGTGAGCGCGGCTAGCGTGTAGCTGCCGCCCAATGGCAGCAGGAAGGCGTTGACCTGGTTGCGCTGCGCCGCCCATGTGGTGGCCTCGGGCGTGCCTGCGTCCACCGCGGCCATGATCGCGCCCTTGGAGTCAGTTGCGCTCTGATGATGAAGGGGGGTGGAGAAAGGGCAGGTGGCAGGGGCACAGGGTTGGGGTGGGAGCGAATGGGATGGCAAGGCTAGAGCTAAACCAACAGCATGGTGAGGGGGCAAGGTTGGTGCCCATTCGCATCTCCCAGGTCATGGGGCCCTTTCAGTGGCCAGCAGCAGGGGCGCGAATGCCAAGCCGTGCACGGCAAGAGGCGCATTTGTAGGTGCGTTTCGGCGTGTCAGCTAACTCACCAGCTGGGTGAGGGCGCTGGTGGGCACCATGCGCAGGACGCGGTGCTCCGGCAGCAGTGCTGCATGTGCTGCGGCGTCATGGCCAAGGCTTGGGTCCTGGAGCTCCGCGGCGTTGTGCGGCGGCAGGGGCCGAGCGGCGGAGGCTGCGGCGACGAGCGCCAGCAGAACGGCGGCGACGGCGGCGAGGGTGCGAGTACGGAGCGCCATCGTGCTTATCACGCGTATATTTTCATAAGATATCTTTGTGTGTGACTGTGCTTGTTGAACGGATCAATGAACGCGTTCCGTGACCGGTGGGTGTGGTTCGTTGCATGTAGCAGAGAGCTCTGCGTTGATTTGTTATGGGATCAGATTTCGGCGCGCTTAAAATACGAAGTCCCCATCCTGCTAGTGTGACGGGCCCGTATGTTTTTGTGTGTGCGGCTGGCGGGTCAACACTGCCCCTGTATTACCAGTCGTCACGGCATGGTCACACTTTGCCGGCAGGAGCCGGCGGTGGCTGCCGCGGACGCTGACGTGCACTGAACACGAGTTGGGCATTGGATGAATACTTCCTGCATGAACGCAAACGTAACACGGGTGCTCTGAGCCACCCAGGTGACTCATATCAAGGGGAGCAAGGCGCGCCATGATAATCCGTGTGCGCTCATTGCACCACACCACTCCTTTGCCAGATGTACAGCCCTGACATAATCATGAACTTTGTGTATCCCAGTCAGCCAAAGTCAGCTAGCTTCTTCATATCCAGAGAGCCAGCGCTAGTCCTGTGTATTACACACACCCACTCATACTAAAGACCCCCGCGTCAAAAATGCAGCAGAGCCGCTGCAGGCAGGGCCGCGGCGGGGGGCCCCCGGCGCCCCCGCCCGGATCCTCCGACCAAGCGCGCCCCCGACACTCGGGCCTAGCAGCTCAAGCAGCCCAAATTTGTATTGATCGGGTCATGATCCGATCAGAGCAGCTGCTCGGGGCTCTCGATGACGGCCTTGAGGGTCTGCAGGAACTCGGCGGCGTCGGCGCCGTAGACGATGCGGTGGTCCGCGGTCAGGTTGACCTGGGGCAGGGAAAGGGTGTGCGTGTGTGGGGTTGGGGGTTAGCGTTCGGGTCAGACAGGTGCTGAATGGGCTGTGGGGCAGGGTCGTTTGGGGTGTGAGGGGATCAGTGATTGGAGTGTACGAGGGGCGGGGTGGGGTTGGGGGGTGATGGTTGTTGGATGGTTTTGGACGAAAGGGTATTGGACGGAATGCGATGACGTGAGACTAGACAAGGCAAAAGGGGGAGTGAAGCGCCCCCGGTGCTGTGTGCCAGTACAGGGGTTCCTGCCCTTCTGAGGGTGCCGGCAAGAGACGAACGCTGGCCGTTGAGCTAGGCGCAGGGGGCCCTCTGACGCAGGCCACAGCCCGCCCCTCGAAATCCGACGTCATTCTGACGTCATTGTTGCCCAGTGATCCTCGGCCGTACCCACCTGCATGACCTTGCGGACGCCGATGAGGCCGTCCGCGGTGGCCACCACCGTCGGCTTGCTGCCGCCCACCGCGAGGATCGCGGCCGTGCCCGGCGGCAGGATGGCGTCGAAGGTGTCCACGCCAAACATGCCGAGGTTGGAGATGGTGAAGGTGCCGCTGTTGTACTCGTCGGGCGCCAGCTGCTTGCCCCTGGGTAAAGACGGGCGGCAGGCGGGGGAGGGGGCGCGTCGCAACGGCCAGTCAGTACGGCGGAGGAAAGGAGGGAGGCGCAGGAGGGATCGCGAGCTCCGCTGCCCAGCACACCCAGGCGGGAGCCAGCCCCAGCCGTGGCGGCTTACGGCCGGCACCGCCGACGCCGCCCAGCCTCCTGTGCAGCTTCTGCATAGCGTCTGCCCAGCTTCCGCCCAGCTTCCACCCAGCTTCCGCCCACCCACCTGGCGCGCTTCACCAGGTCCCCCCAGTTGCGAGACAGCTGGTAGAGGTCGGTCCGGTCAGCGTCCTTCAGCACGGGGGTGATCAGGCCGCCGTCGGGCATGGCCACGGCCAGCGCCACGTTGATGTGCTCGTTGTAGGTGATGCCCGCGCCGTCGGGGGTGCAGCCTGCAGGGGAGGTGCGCGCGGCGTGGGGCGTTGGTGCCGGGCCTATGCCGCAGTCGGTGCTGTGAGGGAGGAACATGACACAGATCCAAGCTCACAAGCGCAGGCACCATGCCCAGTGGGCGCGGGGTGCGTGGCGACAGAGAAAGCGACGCAAAAAGATGCGCCCACACTCCAAGCTAGCTAGCGGCATCTTCACAGCGTGAAAAACAGAGCGCCATGAGCCGCGTCGGCCTGGCACACGTGGCTCCAGCCAGGCGCTGTCGCGACACTGGCACAGCAAAGGCGGTCCAAACGCGACCCCCGTCGCGACCGGGCGTGCGGCCCCGGAGGGGGGAGGCGGGCGGCCCGTGCTGCTCACTGGCGAACAGGACGGGGTGCTTCACGAGGGCGTTGCCCACGGCCTTGGCCAGCAGCGCGGTCATGGTCACGCCAGCGGGCTTGAGGCGCTTGTAGAGGGCGTCCAGCTTGTCGGTCTCGATGGAGGTGGCCACGCGGAACTCGGGGACCTGGGGTGTGTGTGAGAGAGAGTATGTGTGTGTTGGCGCGGGTGCGTGTGTTTGTGTGAGAGAGAGAGAGACACACACACACACAACACACACACAGTGTGTGTGTGTGTGTGTTTGTGTGTGTGTGTGTGTGTGTGTGTTTGTGTGTGTGTGTGTGTGTGTGTGTGTGTGTTGGAATTGGCCAGGCTGATGTGATCAATGCCGGTGTTGCGCTCGTTGGCAAGGAAGCAGCGTTGCTTGAAGGACGGGGTGCGGGCCGCGGCTCCATGTCATGCGCGTGCAGAGCACCAACGGGGTCGACGATGGCTGGCCGGCTCGCAGCAAATTCAACTGGCCAAGCGCGGTCAAAGCGCGGTCAAAGCACGGTCAACGCACCTTGAGGGACTCGATCATATTGCGCGACACGGCGTTCTGGAGGGTGGTGAATGGCTTGGTGGTGCCCCGCAGCTGCGAAACGGTCGTCGCCGCGACCGGCGCCGCGGCCGGCGCGGGCGCGGGGGCGGCGGCCTTGGCGGGCGCCCCGACCGCCGCGGGGG